ATATATATATATATATATATATATATATATATATATATATATATATATATATATAATTTGAGATGTTCGTTAAAGAAAGATCGCGAATCCTCCGGAAACCTCTACAATTTTCCGGTGCAGAATGTTTCAGAAGACTCTGGAATATTTTAGGAATGTTTAGGAATTTCGTGATTTATTTAGAAGCTAGCAAGGAAAAAATATATACTTGATTCAAGTATATTTTATACTCGAACGGGGGATGGCTGTTTCAATTCAATTTTTACTATACAACTTATTCTATTGAGATATTTTCTAGAGAATTTACTCGAGTCAATTTTTCCAAGTTTTTTTGTTTGATTTTTTCTATGAAAAGAACGGGAAAATAGGATTTTAAAAAGTTAGAAAATTTAAGCGGAAGAAATTCGATAGAAAATATTTCCATAGAATGAATTGTATAGAAAAATGGACTTCTATTGACTTTTTGCATAAAATATTTTTTCTTTTTATTTTATTTTAATTTTCCCATTTTAATATTTTGAATATTTTCCATTTTTTATGTAATAGCATCAGCTAAAAACTAAAGTTCAATATAAATCCAACAGAATTGTCTCGCGAATGCGCTAGATTTTTCTATTAAATTTTTTCGTACTTATTCGTCTATTGAATCGAAAAGATTTCATTCTAAAAAAAATTCACCCGTATAGAATATCAAAAGAACTGCACACTGGAAATAGCCTCCCCTCAAAAAGACCTAGACACATTTCCCCCCATTTCCATTTCCACCCGGCCCTCCCCCTCCCGCTATCTCATAGCTCACACTCACTCAGCCTCAAAACAGCCATAAAAATTCAGTAACTACCGCAACCGGTCCTCTCCGCCGTGCCGTCACCATTAAATCTCGTAATATCCACCCAACTCCAACTCCCCAAGTATAAAGTGCAACGACATTCTCACAAAATGCGTCGAGAGCTCATTCGCTGCATGGTCGCTGACCCCGCGACCAAAAGAAACAATTTCCGCAGTCTTACAATTGTCCATCCGTCAGCCTGATATATTCTTGGATAATATGCAGTGCCAAGTTTATAAAACAGAAAATAAAAAAAACATCCATTGAATCATCAGTTTTAAATTTATCCCAAGGCAAGATACAAAAATAACAATTAGATTTGAAGAGATAAAATCTGTTTTTTTTTCACCCCAGGCCACAAATTACGTGCGATATATTGCCTATAGAATAGGGGCTATGGTTTACACTGTTCGAATAAATTGAAATTTCATGGACATTTGAGTAGTAATTTTCAGGAGAGTGATGGTGAATTCAATTTACGGAGAAACCCCCTCCCCCCTTAGTTTGCTTGACAATTTTGGATTCCAGTAATTTTTTTCTCTTAACATTATTAATTTTCATATACAAAGCTTGTGCGCAAGAGATTAATTTAATTGAGCAACCTTGTGAAAATAATTTCACATGTGCTTAAAGTTATGTTAGATTGAAAAGTCTATTTCAATTCAATTGAGTATTTCAATGGGAAATGATCAATAGACTTTTTCATCCCGAGTCACTAGATTTTTGGACAAGTTTTCCCCACGTAAATTCCCCTAGGGGTTACGGACACATTTACGGAATTTACATATCAATCGTAATTTTTGAGGGCTCACATCTATATTATCTTGAATGTCAATATTTATCGGATTTGTCATCATTTTATCATTTTTCTTAAGATTTTTCAGTTCGATGAATGGAATAAATGTTTCCATGACCAAAAAATTGGCCTCGAAAGTGACTGTTTTTCAACTAATTATCATAAGACCTCTAGGCAATATACCTCCATAATTCTCGCCGTTTAGCTACACGGAGAGAAATATTCAGTAGAGATTACGGAACTCACAATTCACTCACCGATTACGGAATCGATTCAGAACATTTCAGTGGCGGTATCGGAATTTTTCATAGGAGATTCAGATAAAAATTACGGATTTATAGCCCGGGAAATACTTAGATGTCAAATTTAATTGAATAGTCACGAACTAGTTAACAGGTTTGTTAAATTCATCATAAATTAACTAATGTGAATAACGTCTCTCAATTATGGATAGATTCTTCGTAACATAACAGAACAAAAATTTCGTCATGATACGAAACATCACAGCAAAAACGAATGTCTGAATTTCATACACTTTTTGTAGACATTTTTCAGACACTCAAAACGTCTGAACAAAATGAATATTTGTTTGAATTTCAAACATGAATTAAAATGTTTGGACACCGGTTCGTCTGAAATTCAGACACGTTTTCATTTTATTCCGACGTATTTCAGTCTCTGAAAAATGTCTATAAAGGTGTGTGAAATCCGGAAATTTGTTTTTGCTGCACGGAGAGAACTGTTCAATAAAAATATCGTATCGTTTCCGCAATTCCGGAGCGAAATGTGGTTGTAAGAGATTTTCCGGAACTGTCACTGAATTTTTCCGGAGCGTTCCGTAATTTTCATCTGAATCTCCTGTGAAAAATTACGATACAGTCACTTGAATTTTCCAAGTCGACCGCGTAATCGGTGAGTGAATTGTGAGTTCCATAATTTTTACTGAATATTTCCCTCCGTGTGTGATAAACCTTTCTTACAAATATTCCTCCTACTCCTCCAGGCCATTTTGCGGTTCTCAGCGATTTCACTCTGCAATTCAATTAAAAACACAAATCTTCACTACTTGCCAACGTTTCGAGCGGTATATCCACTCCTCATCAGGCCTCATCAGGCGCAAAATGGCCTGGAGGAGTAGGAGGAATATTTATAATTATACTTGCGGTTGGAAAAATCATTTTGTCTAAACCTTTCTTCACCGGGTGCTGCACCCGCAGCCGCCCGAGTAGCAGAAAAATTCTGAATCAATCCACCACCCATGCTGTTACCCCCCAAACATGATGTTATTACACACGTGCAGT